TCAGGTATTTGGGTGAGTTTATCCCACTCAAAATCCTTTTCACCACCGCTACTTGTTCGTCTTGTGTGATATCACTCTCTCTTACAACTGATGTTTCAGAACAGGTTCTCGTGAGATGGTTGTCGTTCGTCTTGTGTGATATCACTCTCTCTTACAACTGATGTTTCAGAACAGGTTCTCGTGAGATGGTTGTCAACTTCAATAGCTTGTTGCCTCACTTGGATCACCATGGGATCATTGTGTGCTATGCCATGTTGTTGATCTGTAAACGGTCGTCGATTTCTCTCTTCAGGTTGGGCGCTGGAGTTTCCACCGGCATCTTCAGATTCTGAATCTGATGCGTCTGATGTATCTGACATTTCGATCAATCGTTCACCGGCTCTTTTGAGCACAATGACGTTGTCGTCGCCAAAATCATCAGTTCCGCCGTATGGTATTTTCCAAGATCTGTCCTCCGGGTGAGAAAATCTGTAGGGGAATACTTCTTCGTTGAAACTTATATTGTTCTGTGTGACGTACAGTTGTTTCCCATTCAGTGCTGCTGCCAAATAACCTTTCATTCCTAGGTGGTGGGCGAAGCCAAGAAACACGCAAACTTCTGCTGTTGGCTCGAGTTTTTTGTCTTTCTTTTGATCTAATCTTCTGTCCTTTAGGATATGAACGTAGCAGAGGCAACCGAATGGATGGAAGTGTTCTGCGTTTGGTGATGTGCCTGTAAACGCTTGGTAGCAACTGATGTTTGAGTATATATAGCGCTGAGCCAGAGATTTTTCGGAACGTTTGAGTGTACGATTGCCAATCTAGTCCTTGTATCTAACGAGTAGATTCCAGATTCAGCTCTTCCATTTTGCCAATGTTCATATGGTGCGCTTCTTTCTAGGTGGATGTTGTGCTTCTCGTACATCTTCAGTGATTTCTTTGAAACCATTTCGCTCCCATTGTCAACTCGAATCACTTTGGGGTAGACCCCATTGTTGAATCTCGTGACAACAAGTCGTAACGATTTCCTGTAACCTTTCTTGCTCGCTAAACCTACAGGCATCTTGAATCCTGAGAAGTCGTCTTTCCAGAGTTGGAGGTACTTTGCTCCTTCGATCGAGCGGACTCGATAGGAGCTCATATCCCCATGCAGCCTGTGAAATCTGACATCGGATCTTTTGTGTCTGAATTTTGGTAATGGAGCTGCCTTGGTTTTCGCTCTGCGGCATGTGTGACATGTCGGCAGGGGTGTCTTTGGATTGATTCTCTTCAATTCCTCCATGCCTTCGATGTTTTCTGCCAGTTGGAAAAGGTATTTCTTGCCGATGTGGTTGGTTCTTACGTGCCACTTGAGCAGAATCGCTGATGCTCTTGTTCCTTTGATGCGTTCTCCCGTTGAATATAGGTAAATATTCTTGAGATCTGATTTGTCATTCTTCAATTGTTCTTCGTATTCCTTGTCGTTTTCGTCAAGTTCTTCGATCGTTGTGTTTGTAAAGTCGTCAAAATCTGTAAATGATCTTGGGTCGTTGAGATACTCCTTGGTTTGCTGTTGAATCTCTTCCGTCGTGAATTGTCTTGCAGGTTCTAATGGAGTGTTGTCAGTAGTCATCAGCTCGTCATCGGAGCTGCTGCAACTGTCCAAGGTCTCTCCATTTTCACTGTCTGACTCTTCTGACGTGTCTAATTCAGGTCGTACATCTCGCATGCTGATAGGAAAGGTCTTCATGTGCGTGGGCTTGAAAGCTGTTGCCGAAGTTGTGCTCTCCCCCTGCATCGCAGCTTGGTAGATGTGGATGCTTCCCCCCCAACGAGGTACGCTCTCCAATCTTGCGCCATGGATGATCAGGTGGATTCTGCGTTTTGATGTACTTTGTGTATTTGTCGTTTGTGTTGACTCCTTGATTGTTGCCGTGAGTGGTATTTCGCCTTCTTGAATTTCTCTGAGAATTGTGTCTTTATCCCAGATGGTTTTTGCTGATAGCTTGGAGATTATCTTATTGGTCTTCCTGTTGGGTCTTTGGATTTCGACGTACCATAGGTAGGTGCTTGGGCAGAAGTAGAAAGGTATAAATTCATTGTTGAGTGTAATGATTCCGTGTAGTCCTCCTTCTGGTTTACCTTTATGGATTATTGTATGACCACTATTTGTAATTCGCCAGATGGATAACAGGTTGATTTTGGCATTTTCGTCGTTGATTACTGTTGCTATAGTTGCAAATGCAAAACGTTTTCCTTCGACTGATGCTATCGTTCCTGCTAGAATTCCTCCGAGCGATGTATTGATCTTGCTGCCCCCCACGCCGGTGATCTCAGTTTTGTGTGTAAACGATCTCTGTAACCAACTTGGATTGCAGAGTACGCTTACAGTTGCACCTGAGTCGACAATAGCGTACAGGGACTCTTGTTGTTCTTTCGCTTTTAACGCGTGTAGGAAAACTTGATACCGATCAGTGTTCCTGATCAGTAGTCTGGGTATATGAAAGATGTATTCAAGGTACCATGGTTTTGAAACTTTTGAGAACAGAGCTGCATCAAGCTTGTGCAGTTGGATCTCTTCAGTTTTCGACCTGGTATCACTTTGATATACAACATAATTTTTAGAACAGGGATACTCCTTGGGAGATTTATTCTTTCTAGAACTGCGTCCTAGTGTGCCTCGGAACGTCTCTTGTACACTTCTTTCAGTCGTTTCGGAGGTGTTCGAGATGGGGACGGTTCATCGGATTCGTCTTCATCACTGCTAGGTGATTCTTGAACTGATTCTTGGGTTTCAGTTTGGTCGGTAGAGGTGGCTTCTTGCAGGGCTTTTGTGAGGTTCACGAGGACTTTCTTGTCGATGCTGACTGTTTGCTTGTATTTTGACTTCGGGTATTGTCCGCTCTCCTCGTTTGAACGGTTTGGGTTCGACGAGCGATGACTCTTGGCGGTAAATTTTGCGGATCTTCCTGCCCTTGTCTGAAAACCGGTTGAAATGCTTCCTGTGATCCTCTTCATGGTTGGCGCTGTTTTATTGCCAGTGGCTCTTTCTCCGATCCTAGATGCGTCATGCTCGCTGGTAGCATGACTGAGAGAAATCCTTGCTGGAAGTCGTTTTTCTTTGCAGATTTTGCATCCAGTAAAGTTTGCTTGTTGTTGTTTCCTGACTTTCTGTGGTGCATTGTTTTGTTTCATGGAGGCTGAAAACACGGCATTTGCCTTTCGTTTCTGACCTGACTGTGCGTCTGTTGATTTCTTGCCAGAGCTATCTTGTCCTGCTTGGAGGATAGGTATTGGGTGTTTGGTGCCTCTGGTAGTGAAGTTCATCATATGTTGATGGAATTTCAAAAAATCTTCAATCTGTGGCTCTCCTTCGTAGAAGAAATTTTCTTCCGTTGCGTTGCGATGGATTTGAGATGTTATCCAACTACCCAGTTCTGCTTGCACGCCCATTTCGTCGATTGCTCTGAGGTTGTCGATAACGTCTTTGAAAGCACGGGTGTAGATAAAAGTGCAGTCTTTGCCTTGTGAAGCAAATTTCTTCAAGGTCCTAACCACATTGGGGATGTAACTCTGGTAGTCTCCGTTGTAGATTACTGCTTGCTCTAGTTCTTTGAGATTGGCAAGTGTCTGTTCAGCTTTTGTTGCTTCGGTTGGCTTGTCTAGTCTTTTAAAGTCTGTCCATGCCTTGATCCCAGCTAAGCAAAGCTTTGTAGGAGTCTCAGGGGATTTGTGTTCTTCTTCCATGTGGGCTTTCAGAATCTGAATCCTGCCAGGGCATTGCATGTAGACAGTGTGGAGGATTTGCGTCAAAGCAGCATCTGCTTCTCGTACAAATTCTCTCCTTTTCTGTCTCATGTTTTCCTGTAATTCTTCTGACTGAGTATCTCTGATGGGAAAATGACAATCGAAGTAGGCTCTCATGTTTTCTGGATTCCCTTCAGAGTTGAGGTATGCATAGTATTGCCCTATCAACTCGAACTGTATAAAGTTCTCGATATCTGGGGCAAGTCTTTGCATATTCTCGGGTGTTACTGCTGTAATCATCGAGTCCTGAGGCTGATTGATTGGCGGCCATTGTAGACGGTATGGGGACATCTGTTCCTTTTAACGCGAGGCTTTTATAACCTGATGCGGGTATAGTCCAGCAACTGAGCGATAGTGCACTTAGGAGTAGAACAGATGAACAATGAAGCTAGATTTGTTTATGTACAGCAGTAAGAGAACACACGTCAATGTTCGTGCAATCCCATTCCGATGACGTGGCCAACGTCTAAGATGGGTTGCTTATATGTCGAGGTCAGGCTTAACCCGTAATACAGCAATGAGTAAACATGTGTATCGGTTTATACCAGCCTCATGCTTTCATCATACCAATGTGTTGTACGTACGTCTACGTCCAGTACACATCTTCGATTCTAGCATTATACACCTCGCCAGCGTACGTAGCCTCTTACGACTACTCGCATGATGCTGCCATGTCCGTTACTGACGTAACGTCATGCGGGTGCAACATCAAAATTGAACCACCACCGTTGCCTTTGGTTCAACGCGATGGACAGTATTTCGAAGTCGATCGTATTTTGGCTCGTCGTGGGAAAGGTAATCGTGTGCAGTACCTGGTTCGTTGGAAAGGATATGACAAGTCGTCGGATGATTCTTGGTTGTCTACGCGTGAATTTCGCACTCCAGAGTTACGGAAAATGATTCGTGATTTCAATCTTGTGAATGCTCAATGATTCTTGGTGTTTGCAGCGAAGTTGGAGCTGAGAAGTGTGCTCTCATCTATCAGCGCTAGGGAGCGAAATGATAGGATATGTTTACTGACTTTCTGTCTTTCTTAAGTAGGTGTCCTAGGCAGTATCGTTTCTTAGGAAATTAGATTACTTACTTTTCTTTATCTCTAACGTTGATTTGGAGTAAATTGCCGTTGAATTGTGCATTGCTGTCACACGCTTGCTCTTTGGTTTCTTGACGGGATCACTTCGTGTGTCAACACTGGATCGAGAGATACTTGTAGGAAGTTTTCCTAACAAAAACATTCATTTCCAGGAGTTGACAAGCTGTCGTACAGGCCAGCTATGGCTCCATCGAGCCTGAGTTTGCAAGCTTGATTTTCTGCACTCTGTCCCTGGTTGACAGTCTCCTCCAGCTCCGTTGGGGGGTTCTGTAGCGATCGCTTCCCAGATGTTAGCACTGCCCGGCTCTAAGAGAAGGAGTTTCCCTGCCCTGTCCCATGGCGCAAAGGACTCTGAGAAGCTGAGCACTAGATGTTCCCCGTTCCAGCTGTTGGTCTCTGCGTCTTCTTTCGAGGAGATCCTGTCGATTTGATCAGCCGCCGACTCCTTCCAGCTCGCCACGATCCGTCTCAGTCCTCGAATTGTCATGCCCATGGAGAGATCCTCACCGTCGCAGATCTGTTCAGCTTCCTCTCTGGTGAACCTTCCCTTCTGTGCTTTACTCTTGACCAGTACTTCGTATGTCACTGCTCCTGGCACGTCGGGCAAGAATTGTTGGGCTGACCTTGATTTCTCCTCTTCGTCTTGACCTCTAGCTGCATGCCCGCTTCCGGCTGCACCTCCAACACAGCTATTCCTTGTTGCAGCAGGTGTTGACGATAGATCTCCGTAATCCCAGCTGAGTTCATGCCATTCATCTTGAGGAGGTGAGAGAACTCAGCCAGGGCCCCCGCCTTGCCAGAGTGTTTATCCTTCTGTGGCCTTATCTTGAAGGAGCAAGGATGCTTCGAATGCGCGTTAGCCGCGCGGATCATCTTTCCGTCGATCCTGAATTCTGTCTGTCCTTTCCACAGCAGTTCTGCTGCATCGTTCAATTTGAGTGTTGTAGCAGAGGTTCAGCTTTGATTCAGAACCTACAAGGGTGTGGTAGACCGGAGCAAGGCTCATACCGCCGGCGCACACCTGGAGTGCACGTGACAGGAAAGACTGGGATAAACTAGGTCAAGGTAGACTAGGTTTACTTAAGGTAAACAAGTCAGACTGTGACTCATGGCATCTCATGAAGAGCTGAGACGAGCCAACAACTTGAAAGAGAAAGAGTCAATCAGATTTCACCTAGTTCGTAGCTGCTGCTCGCTGATCTCCGTACTAGTAGATCTTGTAGATGTTCGTCGCGCTCGAGCGACACATCGGGCATGGCCTCGACGTCGCTCCCTCCTTGCAGTCCTCACACAGACACTTGTGACCGCAGGGGATCAGCGCCCATTCAGCTCTTCGCTCCATGCAGACGACGCATTGCTGGCCGCGAACTTCGACGGCTTCGTCGTACTGCTCCTGAAGCAGCTTCTGTAGCTGGCTGAAGCTTGGTCGCTCGGTCTTCTTCTCCTTCCAGCATTTTTGCATGATCAAATAAACTTTAGGCGGACATGCTGAAGGAGCCGCTAGTCGCTCGCCATCTACAACCTTGGGTCCCACCTCAGCGTCATCTGTGATGGCCCAGTAAGGCACTTCTCCGTACGTCCAGACCTCCCACATGGTCACCCCGAACGCCCACACGTCGCTCATCTCCGAGTACTCTCTTCGTCTCATGCTCTCCGGCGCCATCCACCGCACGGGTCGAGCCGTCGAGCCTGCCGTGCTCACGCTCCCGGCCCTACTCTCCCCGTACCCGCGCGAGGCCATGATGGACAGCCCGTAGTCTGCGATCTTGACGCTGACAGCCAGGTGATCCTCCGGGTCCAGGCTGAACACAAGCACGTTCCTCGCCGCCAGGTCCCGATGCACAACCTTATGCAGCGACAGCTGCACCATCCCGTCGCAGATCTGCCTCGCCACCTGCAGCTGCACCAGCAGACTCATCGTCTTCTCCTCCTCGGCAAAGTTGGACAAGATCCCATCGAGAGAGCCTTTGGAAGCAAACTCAGTCACCAGGCAGTAGTCGCCGGAGCTCGGCTCGATGCTGGTGGCGAGGAGGCGAAGGAGGTTGGGGTGAAGGCCCAGCTGGTGGAAGATCTTCACCTCCTGCTCGAACTCTTCTCTCCTCCCAGTGGGTCCGCTGCCTCGGATTCGTTGGATTGCCACGTCAGCGCTGCTGCCATGCGGCTGCTGCCACCGAGCCCTGTAGACGAGCTTGAAGGAGCCTGAGCCGATCTGCTGCAGGCCCGTGAAGGACTCGAAGTTCCACGATGGGATTTGACCCAACTTAGAAAAAAAAGGGATTCACACATCATCGAGATACAAGACATGGCATAACGGACCTGGGAAGCAACATCGTGCTCCTCCCTCTCTCTGCGCTGCTGCTCCTCCCTCTCTCTGCGCTGCTGCTCCTCCCTCTCTCTGCGCTGCTGCTCCTCCCTCTCTCTGCGCTGCTGATCCTCCCTCTCTCTGCGCTGCTGCTCCTCCCTCTCTCTGCGCTGCTGCTCTTCCTTGATTTTCAGTTCTTGTGCATTCTGTTCACCACTCTTCGTTTCTTTCTCTTGTAGCCGTTTCTTGCAATGTCTGCACCCGTGCTACCAACAGCACACGTCACAGGAGACTCAAGCGCATCACTCAAACCAATCATACACCTCATCATACCCGGACCATCCTTTAGATTTGGCGCACTGAGTCAACCAATCAATACAAATAAAACCTCTACAGACCATGTGCTTTGAAACATGATCGATGACTTACATTCTGTGAGTTTCCCATTGCATATTGCAATCAAAACAAGGTCAGATCAGCAGGAAAATATGTGATGATGTCAATTTCTTACGCAGCACTAGCAGATCCATGCCAGATGTTGCCATTCGTTGATCAAGACATACCAAAAAACGCAAAATGAATGTCACTCTCTACCGACCGCATGTTTCAATCGAGATATTACTTACATACTATCCAGTTCCATCACACCAGTCCATCCGAGCGAAAACAAAAGAAACCCAAGATTATATGTCAGCCATATCGTCCCCTGACCGCATCATATGATATGACACTTACTTTCTATGATGACGAATTTAATCCATGCAAGCAAGGAAAAACCAGGAATTTGCAAAATACATGTCAGTCCCTATCGTCCCCTGACCGCATATTTTGATCAAGATACTTACCCCCTATCCGATCCAGCAACCCATCCATCCGACACCAAACACAGACAAGAAGCAAAACCAATGTCAGCGAAACATTCCCTGAGCGGCTCATTGAGAGGCTTACGTAGCAGAACTTGTATTCTGTGTAGTGATCCTTCTCGAGCTTCTTGCAAGTCTGACACTTCCCATCGGCTCCAGCATCGAAAGTAGCCTGTAATATTTCAGCTCGAATCGTCCACTGACCGCATCATATGATATGACACTTACTCCCTATGATGACGAATTGAATCCATGCAAGCAAGGGAAAACCCGGGAATTTGCAAAATACATGTCAGTCCAATCGCCCCCTGACCACATCTTTCATCATCGTCACTTACCGACTATACCGCGCCATCCACAGTACATTCGAGCAAATACCGACATATACACAAAAGAAAATGTCAGTCCAATCATCCTCTGACCGCATCATATGATATGACACTTACTTCCTATGAAGACGAATTTAATCCATGCAAGCAAGGAAAAACCAGGAATTTGCAAAATACATGTCAGTCCAATCATCCCCTGAGAGCATGTTTCATAAGCGTCACTTACATACTATCAGGCCCAAGTTTCATCCATCCAAGCAATAACCGATCAAATTGCAAATTGCATGTCAGTCAAATCGTCCCCTGACCGCATGTTGTGATCAAGATACTTACCGGCTATCCGATCCAGCAACCCATCCATCCCACACCAAACACAGAGAAATACAAAATCAAATGTCAGCAAATCATCCCCTGACCGCATCATATGATATGACACTTACGCTCTATGAAGACGAATTCAATCCATGTAAGCAAGGGAGAACCAGGAATTTGCAAAATAAATGTCAGTACAATCATCCCCTGAGCGCATCATATGATATGACACTTACTCCCTATGAAGACGAATTTAACCCATGCAAGCAAGGAAAAACCAGGAATTTGCCCAAAACATGTCAGTCCCATCGTTCCCTGACCGCATATTTCATTATCATCACTTACCATCTGACCGGACAAACCAACAACCCATCCGATGAGAAACCGAAAAAAACACAGAAAATGTCAGTTTATCGTCCCCTGAACGAGCATACGCTTCACAGACTGATGCTTACCGCCATCCGAACAATAACATGGCAATTCACGGCAAAACGTAAAACACACGCAGTCAGATGACGCCTACTAGAAGATATTCAAATTACGCATTTTGTGCTGTCGATGGTATAAGGTTGGAACGGGATCTGGAGAAACACAAGCCAGGAGGTCAAGAAAAGTGTTGGGAGGAAGTGAAGGAGCCGCCAAGAAAGGAGTTGAATGATGGAAGGATCAGATGCGGGGGAGCAAAGGAAACATCTCCATCATCAAGCATGTAACTGAAGGTAACAGCATCTCATCGCAGCTGCTCCTTGCCTGGCATTTTGTGCAGTGCGTGGAAGCCGCCCCACCCATAATCTTGATATTGAATGACAGAGTGTGGGTAGGTGGAGATTTCGGGTTGTAGGCAAATAGCGGGTAGGGGTAGTCGAATGAAGGAGGGAGGCAGGGGACTCGAATCATGCCGGTGAGAACGATTCGATTTTATAAGTGAGACACTAGTATCAAATGAGGGTGAGAGAGTGAAGGGTGTTTGAGGTGGTATAACATCCAATCGTTTCACAGGTGCTCGGGTAGGGTGAGCAAGGACAAAGGTTTTTTGTTGTACGGGTAGGGTAGGCAAATGTTCAATCGTAAGGGAGATATTGAAGATATCAATCAATCTTTCAAAGATTCATGTGTATATTGAAGAAGATATTGAAATCAAGGCTGGACTCGAACGCAGTTCCATTGTTCTAGGGACCCCACTAGGTGTGTCCGGTACGCAACTATCTGTACGTTCCCTGGTACAAATGTTACGGACAGTCCGTTAAATTTCACTACAACCGTTTTTAACGATGAACGTACAGATAGTACGATAATCGCTATTTCTCAAATCCGAGCAAAATAAGAACGTTTAGTATTTACTGTAGGTTCGTCAAATTTAAAAGTCGAGGTTTTAAACCGTCCCCCTGCCCACCGCCCTGCCCCCTCTCCCATCCTTCCCGCTCTTCAGCCCTTCCCTCCGATCTGCGATCGGGCGATATGCCATTACATCGAGACTCACCTCGCGCTTCCATTAGGCGCACACATCTATATCACAATGAGAAATACGTCATTAGGCGTCGTGTAAAATCGCTTCTACATCTCATTGTCACCCATATTGCTTGTTTCCAAAAAGTTCGATTCGGAACGGTTGTTTCCAAGATGATTCTTGTCAGGTTGAGTGCACTCTGTGCGCTAGTTCATCGTCATTTAATTTGGATGTCTCTGCCGTATATGAGATCGTACTCACGTGGTTGTTTCAAATCAGCCGGAGATTTTTCAGACGCGGAGTTTCTCGAGCAATTTCGTTTTAGAAAGGAGCACTTCTTCGAAATCCTGGAGTCTCTCAGGGACGAGAATGGTGCAGCCATGTCTCATAATGGTGTTCCATCAATGTTACGTTTCGGAAAACGTGGGCACACAACCTGGGTGCGAAGCGATCATGCTTTGATGATCCTCCTTCGGAGGCTTGCAAGTCCTTGCCGCTGGTGCGACTTGCAGATTATTATAGGAGGTTCACGAACAGTTCTATCGGATACATACAATTACATGATCACCATCTTGTATAACAGGTATGCGCCTAAGATGATTTCCCTCGCTTTGCTGCTCATCTCCAATCTTTAGGTTGCCCTCATGCAAATTTAGTCCTGTTTCTGGATGGTCATTTCCAGCCGACAACACGACCAGGAGGAGATGGTTGTATAAATTTGAATCTCATGGATTACCAGACATTCGCGGGGAAGGAACGTCTGCATGGATTGAAATATCAGGGAGGTGTGTTGCCCAATGGAATTGCTCTCTGTTGGGGTCCATGGAGGGGAAGTACTCATGACGCTACAATGTTGCTTGAATCAGGACTACTGGAAGATTTGTCACAAGCCAGCGAGGATCTTGGTTTGCGCTACAGCGCTTTTGCTGACAGCGCTTATCCCAGAAGTGCTTTCGTTCAACGAGTTGAAAGACCTGATCCAGGAGGCAATCTAACACAGACCGAGCGGCGTTACAATGCTCTGATGTCAAGGTTCCGAATTGTGATTGAAAATGCGTTTGGGGAAACCACAAACTACTTCAATAACTTGACTCATCGACACAACTTGAGGTTGGGAAGTCAACAAGTTGGCAAAATGTTTCCTATAGCAATTTTGCTATTTAATCTTCATACAATATTGTACGGAAATCAGACAGCAGCATACTTTGAAACAGAGGATGTGTTGATCTCCATGACTGTGAACAATTACCTTTCCAAAATGCACAATTAAAGCATTTCGTTGCTGGTATCCCCCGTCGTCGGCATAGTCATTAAGTTAGGCGGGACAGGCATACCTTTGTCGGCGCAGAGTGCCATCATCTTCAACACTTCAAGTTGTTGTTGGAAGGTAGCAGATCGCTGTTTCTCTAAATCCTTGTGTGCCTCCAATTTACATGTTCGCTGTTTCTCTAAATCCTTCTCTGCCTCAATCGTCCTGGTTTTCTGTTGCTCCAATTCTCTCTCAGCCTCAAGCATTCTGATCCTTTCTTTCCTTTCTTGTTGATCTTGCTCTTGCGCATTCGACCGTGTCATTTCTCCTGTTGTCTTGTGCAAGGCATCGATGACATTGTAGAAGCTGTCGGTCAGCTTATCCTCCTCTTTTTTGCGATCTAGATGGAGTCCTGGATTATACTTGGCACGTTTCTGCGACCCTTTGTTATGTCCTCTTCCCAAAGATGATGACGGTTCATCAGGAGCATTTTCCGGCGATCCTTCTGGTTCATTTGCATTGAGCTGTTGTTGAACACCAGACTGAGACGCCGGGGACGATGTACTAGATCCATCCACCGGCCTTATTTCATCCATCACATCATCCACGGCTGTTGTGAAATCAAACGAAGCATTAGTTCTTTTCTCAACAGTCTTCATGACACACTGAAGCCTCTCAGTTGAATCCTGTTTCTCTGCATTCTTCTTTGCCTTGGCGTCTGCAGCACGCTGTACAAACGGGCGCTTGATGCGAGCGATTTCTAGGTACAGCTTGTCCAATTCATTCATTGCATTACCACCGTTCTGGGCTCGTTTAATGAACTGTTCCTCTCCACCATCAATAATGGAATCTACAATAGTCATTGTGTTATGCCATTTGTCTCGTGTTGTGTTTGACTTCAAGGCACCTGCAAACAAAGGATCTCCGTTCAGAGCATCAGTTGCATCACGATACAAGTTCCTTTTATCTTTGCAGGTTCCAAACAGCTTGCTTGCAGGTATTCCCATCATTGCAGTGACAATCATCACAAGACGCTTGAAGCCATCTTGACCAGGTAGACCTTTGAAGCTCATACGACCGGAAGCCTGCGCTTCGGAAGTTCCTTTAGAGGTTGCTGGAGGATCAATCCGTCCTGGTGATGTTTCACTAGGATTACTCGGTGCGGAGGAAGATGAAGCTTCAATGGAAGCAGTCATCTGTGCCCCACCACCGTCATCAGAAAGGGTTGGAGATGCGCGCGAGGGGCTTGCATCAAGAGGTGCGCACGCCATGATATTGCCTTTTGCGCGGGAAAAATCTAAATTTCATAAGTTCAACCCGAGATTTGAAAACTTTGAATTTTTTCGAAATCGACTCTGACGGATAGTGTAGTTGATACCGAACCACTTTTACAAAAACGTACTGTACGAAAATTTAACGTACAGTAACAACGTACAGATAGTTGCGTACCGGACACACCTACTTGCTTCCTATCATCGATATTCTCTATATCTCTTCCTAGTCAAACGCATATGCCCCTACCCACCAGCGCTCCACCTTTACCTCTACCACCCACCCCAACTTAGATGTGACAATGCAACTCGACTACGGTTTTTTTTCGCACGGGTAGGGTGGACAACCTTTCAATGTTAAGGGAGATATTGAATATATAAATCAATCTTTCAAATATTCGTGTGTATATTGAAAAAGATATTGAAATCAAGGCTGTGCGGAACGCAGTTCCGGCATGTTTTCCCAAGCGACCCCACTAAATTAGTAGTAAGGTCTCTTTTGCTAGCCTATCATCGATATTCTCTATATCTCTTCCTAGTCTCAAACGCATATGCCCCTACCCACCAGCTCCATGTGCCCCACTTCACCTCAACCACCCACCCCAACTTAAATGTTGACATCTCGACCGGCTCGACAAAGGTTTTTTTCGCACGGGTAGGGTGGACAAATGTTCGATGTTAAGGGAGATATTGAATATATAAATCAATCTTTCAAATATTCGTGTGTATATTGAAGAAGATGTTGAAATCAAGGCTCCACCCTCTCGCAAAGTTAACATTGCCAGCGATTTTACGCGATAACAGCGCCTGTTATGTCTTGTTCCTGATCCTTGCCAAGTTGGGTCTCCGGGGGCCAACCTGCTCTTCAACTTCCTCCCATCCCCCCCCTCCTTCCTCTTGCCCCGGCTGCTTTCCACCCTCTTGTCCCGGCTGCTTCCCCCCCCCACCTGTCCTCCTTCAGTTTTCCACCGTCCCCGTTCTGTTGCGGGGTCATACCGTGCCCCTGCGCACCTGCCGCAGTGCAAGGACGAAGCGAGTCACTCCGACGTGCGGATGTTGCCAGCCGCCCCAGGCTTGCTGTCCATCAGCGGAGATGACGGGGACCCGCATCTATGAGAACTCGGAACGTCCGAAGGTCCTGTCACCACTCCTGCACGCCGAGGACGACTTCACCTCCAGCGGCTCTCGGCACATCGGCAGAGGCTCACCCCGACTCGACCAACTATGATACACCCGTCGCTCTTGCCATGCAGCCCACCTGCCTGTGCAAAGACGATCAGGAGCTGATCGGCAGGGATGCCGATGCTCAAGGCCTTCAGTTGAAGTCTAGCGAGTCTCGCCTCCTCTGCGACACTTCAGGGTTTAGGGGGGGAAGGGGCAGGAAGGTACAACGGAACTTAGCGAAAATAAGGAAGGGACCGGGATCGGAATTGGAACGGGCCCGGAGGACATCGTTACTGAAAACAACTAATACGGAAGCAACCAGGCCTAAGGGGCGCCTATAGGAAAAATGGGCCAACCTCCCAAGGTCGGGAACCCCTTTAGACGGATCATTAGGCGAGAGATGAGCGAAGAGCAATAGTTCTTAGCTATGAAACTCTTGACTAAGCCTGAGTCTAATAAACTCAAATAATAATAATAATAATAATAATAATAATAATAGGGTTTAGGGTTTAGGAGCCGGCCCTTAGTAAGAGCATGCTGCCCTGCGGCGCGTAGGGAGACCGGTGGAAGCTGCGAGCAAGAGGTTCGTATAGTTCAAACAGCTTTCTAAGCATGGTACTACAGTATGATGAGAGCGTTCGCAACCTGCTGTATCGGAGATCATGCCAATACACGCAGGGTGAGCGCTCTGGAGGCTACGTCGAGGAAGCCGCCGACCTCGTCGAGAAGGTGAAGAACTTCATGAAGCGTTATCCGAATAGTCGGACAGCTTATGCTTGCAGAGCTGAGGGGGGATGCACTCCCGACGCTATCGCTGAAGCCATCCGCTCGACCGTACATGTCGGCAGGCGAGACGCGACCTGTTTGAAGACTCAGCCTCTGAGCGCATGGAGCCCAGAGTCGAAAGCATGGTTCATGCAACAGATGAAAGAGGCCAAACAGCAGAATGTCGAGACTTACATCGGCACCGAAGACACCGAGGAGACCTCCTTCATCTCCATGACTCTCCTGGGCATCTCCTCGATGTATGTGCGACAAGAAGACAAATTGAAAATGAAGTTGACGGAGCTAGGACTCATAGTAGACTCAGTCGATAGAGACGACAAGTCCATCATGTGGAAAGCACCTTACAGACCTGAGATAGCACGAGCAGACGAGTCCGAGGAGGAGCTGTCCTCCGAGGCTGGCTCGAGAAGTGCTTGCGCCCGCAAGGGCGTCATGCGCCTCGCACCAGACAAGAGCGCCTCCAGCGTCAGCTGCATAGTGAGGCGCTGATAGGTGGCGGCGCGTTTGCGAGCCAAGACCTCAGCAGCAGGTCCGTCATCAGGCCCGGGCACGAAGTGCCGACCAAACGCCGCATCCTCAAGAGGTGGCGCCGACGATCGGCGCGGAGCTGGCGAGGCGTCTCCGTCCCTCACTGTGACCGGTCGGGTGCCTCCGGACGGACTTTGTCGACTGAGTCGCCCGAGGGGGAGTCTTCGCCGGAGGCGTCTCCGACTCCGATGGGGGAAACACGTCGAGTGGCGCCGACGATCGGGGCGGAGCTGGCGAGGCGTCTCCGTCCCTCACTGTGACGTCGGGTGCCTCCGGAGAGCTCGACACCACTGGCCCGTGGGGTGCTTGCTGCTGGTCCGAGCTCGCCTGCTTCCTCCCCGGCATCGGTCGGGTCACGCCGGTCCTTGGGCATTGCTGCGGCGTCGCCGCCGTCACGGGCGGCTACCGCTGACTCGGCTACCGCTGACTAGGAGGCTAGCGAGGAGGACTACCTCGAGCGGTACCATGTTCATGTGTCCAGCCTCCCTCCGTCCGCTGCCCCAGGCAGCGGACCGAAAAACTTGAATGCGAAGCGTGGCATTCAAGTTTTCCCTCCGTCCGCTGCCCCTTAGCCGAATTCGAATACTATTTTTGGAACCTAATGAATCATGCGAGGGGAATTCTCTTTATAAGGTGACACATTTCCTTGCCTCCTTTACCAATTGCACCACCCATGAATATCATCCACACCATTGTGAATGAACTTATGCATCCTGTGTACCAGACCAACAATGTCATGGACCAGGACATGCACAGATCATTCTCTTTCATCCGAGACATCATGAAGAACTCCGGTGTCAAGAATACACTGTGGAATCAAGTTGTTGGCAAGGAAACGGTCCAGTTCCAGCTCAACTCTCAAAATACCAAGAAACACAGTTTTTCGCAGGTTGTTGACTTTATGATGAGTATTGAATCAAGCATCCGAGATGTTTCATTGTCGACCAACGTCGTTGGTGGCGACGAAGACATCAATCGTGACTTTTACATGGAGAACGTATCCAAGAGAATGCAGAGTATCATGTTCGACGCAAAGAACATGAACAAGTCCGTGTCGGTTGTATGGAATTTTGTCAATGGTTGCAGTCGCATCTGCAGGTATAACAACGTCGAGATGGTCATTGGGGACGAAAAGCTATTCAATTGTTTAGGGTTCTTCAGTATGATGAAAATGTTCGCAACCTGTTGTATCGGAGATCATGCCAATACACGCAGCGCGGACTTGTGGATGCCTCTGTCCTCGAAGCTGATCTTGTCGAGAGGGTGAAGAGCTTCGCGAAGCGTTATCCGAACAGCAGGACAGCTCAGGCTTGCAAGGCTGTGGAGGGATGCACCCCCGACGCTATCGCAGAAGCCATCCGCTCGACATGTCAGCAGGCACGACGTGAGCTTCTACAAGAAGCGATGACTGGATGGAGTGACGCATCCAGAGAGTGGTTTATGCAGCAGATTGAAGAAGCCAAGAAGGAGAAGGTCGAGACATACACCGCCTCAGCAGGCAACGAGGTGACTTCCTTCATCTCCATGACTCTCCTGGGCATCTCCTCGGTGTATGTCAACCATGAAGAGAAGTTGAAGAAGAAATTCGAAGAGATCGGACTGATCGTAGACTCAGTGCAAGAGAGTAAAGCAATCATGTGGAAGGCTCCGTATAGACCCGAGATAGCGAGTGCTGAGGAGATCCCGGTGACTGTTTCTTTCCTCCGCAATGCACAAGCGGAGAAGCTCTGGCAGGGAAGAGAGGACTTCGCGATCGATGGTCGCAAGTTCACAGCTGTACATGTGAGCATCGTGCACGATCGATCTTTCAAGATTCGAGCCAAGAGAGGACCCTGGGGCAAAGGGGGCAGCTTGGCAGAGCTGACTCACCTGCTAACCTTGGGCGGCATGACAACGGCAGAGATAGCTGCCGTCTATCGCTATCAGCTGCTGCGCCAGTCCCTTGCAGCGGTCCAACTCCAGCCGCTGGCAGGCATGCTGGTCGCTGGGGCGCCAGGCCAGCAAGTCCACAAAGGCTTAGGTCAGAAAGGCTTCGTCGCTGTAGGGGCCAACGTCATCTGGAGACAGAGGGAGGTGGAGTGGATCGTCTCCTCGAGCTGCCCAGAGGCGAATGATACAGCATTTCGAGCTTTCCGAGAGAGCGAAGCGATGGAGGGAGTACACCTGACTCTGTTCAGCGAGGACCCGAAGATCAGAGAGGCGCTCGCAGTCGAGTTGACAGCCGATCGCTTTGTCTCTAGGAATAAGTTGAAGAAGGCATCAAGGATGCAGAAGAAGGCAGGCGGCAAGGACGGCAAGGAGATCAAGATCATCATCAAGTCGACGGCGGCATCTGGTCGCTTCACGAGGAAGGAGATGGAGGGGCTGTGCAACGGCGGCAACACGTCCATCGCAAGAGTCAAGAGAGTCTTGTTGGAGATCGCTAACAGGCTCGAGATCAAAGTTGAAGGCATCGACATGGAGGAGGATTTGAACACCAAGTCCTGGAACGGGTCCAAGCTATGCATCCTCCTCGGCTCCACGGAGGATGCTCGATGCATGATGAAGGAGCTGCCCTTCTATCTCGAAGGCGCAGCAACCAAGCTCGAAGCAGTCGGCTTCGACAAGGAGCCTGAGGCGGCTGGTCAGCGGGGCACCAGCGACGCAGCGCAGCGACAGGAGGAGAGCGAGGGAGAGTGGCTGGAGTTTACAGACCTGGAGAGGATCACAATGGAGGCAGCATCTCCGTCAAGCCAAGAGGACATGCAGCTCGTCAGCGAGCTGTCAGCAGTCATCGAAGATGCAACTTCTTTGAACGAGGCGGGGACGAGCGAGCCGATCAAGCTGGTCCTGGACAAGGCCGTTGGCAACCTCCACGACACCTTCTACTCTCCGGGGAGCCTGGAGTTCATGTCGCTGGGAGAGTGGGCGAAGACGCCAGAGGAGCAGGGAGTGGGACGCAACGCGCTCAAGGAGAAGCTGGGGAAGTGGCTGCAGAGCAAGCGCTGGACTCGCGTGCAAGGAGAGAGCAAGAAGGCAAGGAGGGGCAGCGCGTTCTCGCCACGGGCAACGGCAGCTGCTGAGCTTGAGCAGGAGGCGGAGAGCGACGACATAGAGCGTCGATCTCTTAGCTTCCTGTTCATAGCACTGAGTAAATTCGCAGAGATGCATGTGCTGGCCTGCTCGCTGAAGGTGGACAAGAAGGACCGACTGCGGGTGGAGATGAGGGAAGATGGCGAAGAAGAGGAAGACATGGAGGAAGAGCAAGGCGAGGGCGAGGAAGAAGACGGGGCGAGCCCGTACCGAGCTTGAGCTGAGCTCAAGGTAAGGAGAGAAGGTAGGAGGCGACCGAAGGCCAAGGTGAGGAGAGGCAACTCTCCTGACTGAGGCTGAGGAAGCTGAATGGAGGAGGAGTAGGTGGCGACCGAAGGCCAAGGTGAGGAGAGGCAACTCTTCTGACTGAGGCTGAGGAAGCTGAATGGAGGTAGAGTAGGTGGCGACCGAAGGCCAAGGTGAGGAGAGGCAACTCTCCTGACTGAGGCTGAGGAAGCCAAGAGAAGACAGCAGAAGTAGAGAGTAGAAAGACGCCTCAGAAGCAGGGTTCGCATTGTAGGCCGTGTACTCCCAGTGCTCGAGCGCCTCTTTAGACTAGGATCAAATTGCAAAAGCCCACAACGAGGCCGAGCAACATTCTAGCATTCTAATAAACTCACATAATAATAATAATAAATATGGTTTAGGGTTTAGGGTTTAGGAGCCGGCCCTTAGTAAGAGCATGCGGCCCTGCGGCGCGTAGGGAGACCGATGGAAGCTGCGAGCAAGAGGTTCATCTAGTTCAAACAGCTTTCTAAGCATGGTACTACAGTATGATGAGAGCGTTCGCAACCTGCTGTATCGGAGATCATGCCAATACACGCAGGGTGAGCGCTCAGGAGGCCACGTCGAGGAGGCCGCCGACCTCGTCGAGAAGGTGAAGAACTTCACCAAGCGTTATCCGAATAGTCGGACAGCTTATGCTCCGACGCTATCGCTGAAGTTATCCGCTCGACAGGTCGGCAGGCGAGACGCGACCTGTTTGAAGACTCTCTGAGCGAATGGAGCTCAGAGTCGAAAGCATGGTTTATTCAACAGATGGAGGAGGCCAAGAAGCAGAATGTCGAGACATACATCGGCACCGAAGGCACCGAGGGGACCTCCTTCATCTCCATGACTCTCCTAGGGATTTCCTCGATGTTTGTTCGACAAGAAGAAAAGTTGAAAACGAAGCTTATGGACCTAGGTCTCATGGTAGACTCAGTCGATGGAGTCGACAAGGCCATCATGTGGAAAGCACCTTACAGACCTGAGATAGCACGAGCAGACGACATCTCAGTCACCGTCTCCTTCCTTCGGAATGAAGCAGCCATGGAGCTATGGGAAGGCAGGAGAGAATACACTATCGAAGGGAGAGTCTTTCGAGCCACAGAGGTGAGCATAGCACACGACCGGTCCTTCAAGCTTCGAGCCAAGCGAGGACCTTGGGGCAAGGGAGGGAGCCTTGCCGAGCTATCACAGCTCCTAGCTCTCGGAGGAATGTCGACGGCCGAGATCGCTCAGATTTATCGATTTCAGCTGCTCTCGCAATCTCTTGCAGCCGCAGAGGTACAACCGCTTGCAGGCATGCTCGTGCAGGGTGCTGGGCAGAGAGGTCGCAAGGGGCCGAGCCCGAAGACGTATGTCGCTGTTGGGGCAAGTACGGGAACTCTCCAGCAAAAAGAGCTGGAGTGGGTGCTCAGCTCGCCTCGACGGTACCC